AGTGTTGTCTTACTCCATCGTCACTGGTTTTGGGTTCACCCTTACTACTTCTCTCCGGAGAGTTTTTTAACTAAAGTCCATGCATTTATTTCCAGTTCATGTCTAGGTCCTAAGTTGGAGGCAAGTTTTCTGTCCATTTATCTCTTTTAGCCTTATTAACTAACAACTTTAACTCTGGCACATGCTTTATTGATATTGATCTTTTGCTTCTGTTGAACATGCGTTTCGAGAAATCATATTCTTGCTTTATTCCTTTCAGATATAGTATTTTGAATTTCTTGATTCCAAAAAGTTTATTTGCCTTCCGGCTGCCCCTTGGGATGGCTTTCGACGCTGCATTCAGGATTGCTTGTGTTATGTCTTCACAAAAAAGTTTTCCACACAGCTGTTGTCCAATTCTTCCCAGGAGGCAGTCAGATGTTTTCCTGAAAATAGTTTTTCCAGTTTGCTTTTCGGAAATTCCAACGGGTTCTCAGCTTGAAGCGTATTTGGGGTGGTGCTTACAGTTGTGAGTATAGGTTTGTGGTCACTTCCTATGTCGTCCAGGACTTGGGATAGCTTGCGTCTGCTAAGTCGGATGAGCAGATGGTCAGGTCTGGTCAGCTTCTGAGAGATAGGCGGGCGGGCGGGCGGGCGGGCAGGCAGGCAGGCAGGCAGGCAGGCAGGCAGGCAGGCAGGCAGGCAGGCAGGCAGGCAGGCAGGCAGGCAGGCAGGCAGGCAGGTAGATAGATAGATAGATAGATAGATAGATAGATAGATAGATAGATAGATAGATAGATAGATAGATAGATAGATAGATAGATAGATAGATAGATAGATAGATAGATAGATAGATAGATAGATAGATAGATAGGATAGATATATAGATAGATAGATAGATAGATAGATAGATAGATAGATAGATAGATAGATAGATAGATAGATAGATAGATAGATAGATAGATAGATAGATAGATAGATAGATAGATAGATAGATAGATAGATAGATAGATAGATAGATAGATAGATAGATAGATAGATAGATAGATAGATAGATAGATAGATAGATAGATAGATGATAGATAGATAGATAGATAGATAGATAGATAGATAGATAGATAGATAGATAGATAGATGGGGGGGGGGTCGCTCAAGTGACCTTGGTCTCTAGGTTACAGCTTCTATGTGAGATGGAGATATTCGCGCTATTTAATCCGGTCCTTGTGTCGGCAAAAAGTGACAAGAAAAACGAATATGTTGCGCTGTTTTATCAAAACTGCTCTAGTTTGTCTGTGACTTGTTTGAGAACTTGCTTTCTTGTGTCGCATTGATGTCGCTTGTTGTAACAGCTTTCAGGCTATAACAGCTTTGATTGACATATTCTCCCTGGGGGCTGATTGATTGTTTGGACCTTCTGGGTACTCGCTTCATGTGCACCTGATAATTATCTTGTCGCTTTCTCATTCGTTGGCTTATTTCAGGCTACTTGTCAGTCAAAACACATCTAAGCTTTTTGTTTTCTTTCGGGGCGCCCTTGTCGGTTATCTTGTAACCAATCGTAGCATTGGGTTGATATTTTTCGAACATTTGATTGGTTAGGTAAATATAGACTGAAAAAATAATAATTAGATACCCTTACACAAAAGTAGGTAACGCCTGAAATGGCCCTTTTTAACAGGCACGAAAACATGCACACCCACTCATACAAACACTTTAACTCGCAAGTGTATGTTTTGTGGTGTCGAAGGCCGAATTCCCTTCTCTAGCTCCCACGCAGAGCCCCAAGCTGTGAGCCTAGTGAAACAGGACGCCATTTGGTGATTGACAAGGAACCAGGAAAAGAGCGTGCACGCCGCTAGCAGAAGCGCACAGTTGGCCCGTTGACAGAGGAACAGACACATTAGCTGCTACAACACATCCGCACATTTTTGCAACCTTTTGCGGCAGTCTCACTTCTCTTCGCTCAGGATTACTACGTTTCTTCACCCCCCAGTCATCTCTCCATAAGCCATTTGTGTGGATTTCTGAACACGTCGGGATTTTAAATGTGCAGAACACGTTTTTTATCTGCTTTGGAAACTATATTGTATTAATGTGGTAACAAATGAGTATTGATAGAAGCGGAGTTAATCAAGTGAACAAGTTTTTAGTGTGTTAGAAGTGTTTCTGCGAGCGAGTTTCTTGCAGTCAATGACATCATCTGTCTCGCTGACAATGCTGACGTCGGGAGTCAGTCAGTATTTACACCCGGACTATCTTCAACCGTTACCTACAACTGTAAGTATCACATTTGTTTTCCCCCCTCTCTCATTCATGAACTCTCCCTTCTCCCTTGTGGGTTCCCTGGCTCTTCTGTAGCCAAAAAAAGAAAAATATTGACCAACTGTCTACCCAGAAGCATGTCGTAGGAGTCGAGTAAGCTGGATCTTTCTGCAAAGTCTTAGTGCAAAATGCCTGAGAGGCAAGGAAACGAACACTGTATATATCTGATTAGTCAGATCTGTATAACGGATGTGCACGTAACATTCTGGTTCTGAAACATGACTACAGTCCAGTAGTGGACGAACAGCTAGAACTTTCGACACTCTTCCGAATACCGGTCCCAAATTATATAAATGTTTAAAAAAATCAAATTCAGGGCCTCGCGAGGTCAAATTGTTAAAGCTCTGGAATAGGAACACTACAAACTATGCATCGTCTTATTAAATAATCTCATTTGAACTTTTCGAGTACGGTAGTACAGTTGTAAGTATTGCACCTGTCACGCGGGTGACCGGTGGTCGATTCCCCGCCGGGTTATAAATTTTTTTCGGCACTTATAAGTGAGTTTGACACAGTGTTTTGTGGTTTACAGCTAGGTGCGATATCAGCGCTTTTCTCGCCTACACATCTGATTTCAGCAAATTCCTAATTAGTCGCCTTTTACAAAATGTTTTTTAGGAGGCAGTGGGTCTCTTCCTTTGTTCCCCAAACATGGGGCCCTAGAACCCACAAGGGAAGTCACGGGTACTGTGAACAATAGATCAAAAACTGTTCCTCTCCAAGTCACTTTAATGGATCGAAAACTACCCCTCCTCACAACGCTTCAACAATAGATTAAAATCTAAACCGCCCCCCCCCCCCCCCCCCCCGTCGCTTCAGTGGATCGAAAACTAATCCTCCCCAGGGCGCTTAGCTGAACGTTTAAACATTGCTAACCATCGAGCAATAACGAAAAAACTAGAAACTAATAATGATGTCCTAAATGTTTTTACTACCTAACCTTTTGAGGCTCTCAAAGGGATGTTTTTCGCAGTGAAAAATCTGGGACCGCTATTCGGAAGGCTACCGAACTTTCTGCCGGAGTTTAAAGCCCCTTAAGAAGAAAACCAGTTAAAGACCAGTCGCCTCTGGGCGCGTTACTGTTTTCAGCATTACATCAACTGTCTTTTCCCATACAATTTTTATATCTGCTTACAGCTGGGTCGATCAATCAGCTAGGTCACATTTTGAACCCCCCCCCCCCTCCCCCACCCCACCTTCTAGAAGATGCGCACACATCGTACTTCCTGTGTGGGTTTCTGGGTCATATTAAAGGGGAAAAGAATAAACCCACTGCACTCTAACAAGCATGTCGTAAAAGGCGACTTAATTGGGTCTTTGTCTTCCGAAGTGCATATTCCTGAAAAGTGAGCTATCAACAGTTTCATAAAATTAGCTGCATCCGTCAACCGGCTCTGCATGCAAATCCCAGGTTCTGGATCAAAGCTCAGAAATGGGCGAACAACCAGAACTTTTCACCAGAGTTTACGGTAGATTTACCTACAGCGTCTATTTATATTACTCTTGTCAACATCTGTGTGTGCTGTTCATCAGAACTTGTGAATGTATGTCTTCTTCTTAAGTAGTTCACCTTTTTGCCCTTGTGGGCTATGTGTGCAGACTACAGAACATGTCCTGCAAGACTGTCCTTTGTTCAGCCCATTAAGAAAGGAATACTGGCCCAGTGAGTCACCACTGTACACAAAGTTGTATGGGACTAAAAATGAACTCATTAAAACAGTCAAGTTTATCACAAGAACCTGTCTGTCGGTGTAAATCAGAAAGCGAACACAAGAAGAAGAAGAAGCTGGGCTTTTAAAAGGATATTTAATACATTTTGCTGCGATATCATCTTTTCGGTGCAGTGCATTCGATCTCAGAAAATCGTTATATAGTTGCCTTTTACGACAAGCTTGAAACCCACAAGGGAATATAGGCCTATGTTTTTAGATTGTGCCCCTACGGGCGGAGCAGGAAGTTCTCCAATCGCCATCGCAATTTTCTTTGCTGTTAACCTGACTGTTGTCACTGCGGCACTTGTCAATCCTGTTTGCTGTCAGCCTGACTGTTGTCACTACAGCACTGGTCAATCCTGTTTGCTGTCAACCTGACTTTTGTTACTACAGCACTTGTCAATCCTGTTTGCTGTCAACCTGACTGTTGTCACTGCTCACTGCAGAACTTGTCAATCCTGTTTGCTGTTAACCTGACTGTTGTCACTGCTGCACTGTCTGGCCAGGTGCTCACTGTACACGGAGGGTTCGGCTGTCGGGTTCCCTTGAATAGCGCGGCTGCTCCCGTTATTGTCACAACGGAGTTTGGCGTTTCACAAAATAGAGGGGGGAGAAAAAAAAAGCGCAAGAAAGAGAGAGAGAGAGAGAGAGAGAGAGAGAGAGAGAGAGAGAGAGAGAGTGAGTGAGAGAGAGAAGAGAGAGAGAGAGATACAGAGCCAGTAATGCGAATAAGAGAACCGTTTACACTGAATGAGAGACATAGTCAGCGATAGTGAATAAGAGAGAGAGAGAGAGAGAGAGAGGGGGGAGAGAGAGAGAGGGGGGTGGGGAAGTGAAAAAGAGAAAGGAAAGAGGATGAAATAAATAAATAAATGGAGATCTGGATTCTGACAAAGGGAAAGATAAGAAGATAAAATGAATAAACAAGATGTCCGCGGGTGGCAAACGAGCTAGTGTGTGATACAGTAAAATACAGAAGATGCCAGCTGGTGAAAGAGAAACACAGAGTGAAGATGAACGTTAGAATGAATGAAAGAAGTGGGGAGTGCCTTAGAAAGAGAGGTTATGATTGTATTATTAACTGAAAACACACCGCATGTGTTCTAATCATTGTGTCGGAGAATTTGTTTATTGCGATGCGCGGGTCTAAATCGCACCCTGTCCCACACTATCGGTTACCAGTGTGTTTTAGGCGGGTGTGCGCGAAGCACACCGAGGAAGGGAGGTGGGGGTCAGTGTTGTATAATCCAGCCACTGGGACGTCTGTGGGTATTTCCGTGGGGTCGCCCTTCTCAACGTGGCCACCATTTTGTTTCAAAGAGCATCTGTCTGTCTGTCTGTCTGTCTGTCTGTCTGTCTGTCTGTCTGTCTGTCTGTCTGTCTGTCTGTCTGTCTGTCTGTCTGTCTGTCTGTCTGTCTGTGTCTGTCTGACTGACTGTCTGTCTGTCTTCCAACTGCTTTTCAAAGAACATAAGTCGGCTGATGTGGCGTATGTACTTCGTGCGTGGCGCATAATATTCCTATATACGGGGCTTGATCCAGTTAGAGGCCATTTGGCGTCCGATCCCTTTTTCATTGATTTCGACCAGGCTTGGAAGTTGCGAACGTATTTCACAATTACGAGGTACCCGGTTTGATTCTAGCTGTGGGCGATTTGGCGGCACGCCGCCTTGTGTTGGTTTCGACAAAACAAGAAACAGTCAACAGGTGCTGGGGTTGTTTCTGCAACGTCCTAAAAGACTACGCAACACAATTTCGGCGTAGAATGTTCAGGAAGTATTGGCAAACTGATGAATGAAAAATTTGCCTAGTAAAACAAGAAACACCCAACAAATGCTCTGGTTGGTTTGAGAAGTCCCCAAAACGATATGCATTTAACTGAATGATCTTTGCCTAACGGCTTTCTCTACTTGTGATTGTACACAAACCATCTGAGATGTTGCACACATATTAAGTAGAACTAATGAAGTTTTTGCGTTTCTTCTCTTCATTCAGCTGGACGCAAAGAAAAGTCCACTAGCTCTCCTGGCGCAGACCTGCAGCGCTATAGGAAAGGACAGCTCCCACTGCAAGTCAGTTGTACTGCCGCTGGATAAGAAAGACAGCGAGAAGTTGGATAGATACTTGGATTCTGAACCGAGCTCCAAACGACCAAACTCACATGGAAGCAAAGACTCAGGAAAAGATTCAAAGCCTGGATTCAGGACCTTCCCGCCAAAAGAAATTCCTCCTCTGGTGCCTAATTCAAGTGCCAACTCTGAAAAATCGTTGAGGACACCCAGTGTTGAACCCAAACCTTCTACCTCTCCTGGCAGTCTGACCAGTTCTCACGGTTCCTTTCTGTCGTCTAGACCTGTTTCTGCTAGCAGCCATGGCACAAGTCAACGATCTAGTTCAAGAAGCAGTAACGGTAGAAACGAAGGCAACGGAAGTGACTATCAACACAGCAGTCGACATCATCATTCACCACATCTGCAACAATGTGAGTCACCAGCATCCATGGGTTCCCCTTGTTACCCCAGCACATCATGTATATCCTTCTCCAAGTCTACAAGTTCCTATTCCACATCTGCCATGCAACAGTCTAATACAACTAAGCCATCCATCAGCCATTCATCCGTGTTGGGTGGGATGGCTGCATCTCACCTGGCTGGATACCCTACTCACTTAGGTCTCCTTGGACACGGATTAGACCCCAACAGCTCCAGCTACCATGCTGCTGTCACTGCACACTCAGGAATCAGCAGTTTTGCGGCAGCAGTAGCCCAGTCTTCGGCAATGAAAGCTGCTGCAGCTGCTGGTGCTTCGACAGGATTGTCCCCCTTTGTAACATATGCAAGGGTCAGAACTCCTTCAGGGGCGACAACTCTGGTACCAGTATGCAGAGACCCGTTCTGTACAAATTGCCAGCTGACTGTACAAAACTCACACCTGTCGTCCAACTGTAACTCTCCAGGTTGTTCGCAATGCGCTCACGAAAAGTCCCTCACCAACTTGTCAGCAGTTGGTTACCCAACAGCCTCAACCATGTTCCTACCTTCTTTCACTTCTGCCAGTTCCCTGCCGAGCTCACTCTCAGCTCTGTCCTCGCTTCACTCGCTTTATCCTCACACCGCATTAGCAGCCGCCCATCAAGGACTTCCGTACATCTGCAGTTGGGTCTCGGGAAGCGACTTCTGCGGCAAACGTTTCTCTTCATCGGAAGATCTTCTTCAGCATCTCCGGACTCACACTTCCTCCATGGATGTATCCAGCCTTGCAGCATCTTACTGTGGACTAGGCCTGCCTGCAAACTTCGCTGCCTACCCTCATTTATCAGCTCCCCTGAGCCCCAACTCCATGAGAAGGACCTACCCCACAAGTGTTAGCCCAGTCAGCAGCCTGCTAAGTGCTCACAGATACCACCCGTATAAATCACCCTTGTCCGGCATCAACGGCACACCTCCCAACGCCCAGTCCTTCACACCTGTTGGACCCTACTATTCTCCCTACACCTTGTATGGACATAGACTTGGAGCAGCTGCTGTTCCCTGAATTCCAGCGAAAACCAAATCTCGCAGCTTTTCGGAAAACGTGAGAATTCCTGGAAAAAAAACCTAGCCGTTCAATGCCTACCTGTTGAAAGGATTACAGATTTTACAGCCGATTGCTGGGGGTTCGAAGCCTTCCTGTTGAAGAGGCATGTTCCAGCGAGGACTAACTGTTTAGATTCCACATTCATTGACTTCCGCTTTCAGAAATGTGATCAACATTGCAAATTATATAAAATGTCGTGACGTGTGGTCCTGAGGCTCCACTGTGAGGGAAAATAAGAAAAGAATCTCGGCCTCCCCAACAAGCATGTCTAAGGAGTCTACTAATTGAGGGATCCCTTTGAAGTTGGAGTGCACGTGCCCGAACGGCAAGAAACAGCCAACTGCACACAAGTAGGCCAGTAAAACGGATGTACACGCAAAACTCAGGCCCTGGTAAAAAGCTTAAGTCCAAATGGACAAACAACCCGGGCTTTTCTGCAAGAACTTAGAACTGTTGAACAGAGAAGAAGAAGGCAAGGTCATGGTCAACTGTAGTCAAGGATATGGTGTAGTCAACTGTAGTCAGGTGATATGGTATAGTCAAATGTAGTCAGGTGGTATGGTATAGTCAAATGTAGTCAGGTGATATGGTGTAGTCAACTGCAGTCAGGTGATATGGTGTAGTCAACTGCAGTCAGGTGATATGGTGTAGTCAACTGCAGTCAGGTGATATGGTGTAGTCAACTGCAGTCAGGTGATATGGTGTAGTCAAATGCAATCAGGTGATATGCCATGATCAACTTTATGCACTTTGCCTTAAAAATAATGTGATCAAATTTAGTAGCAATATCTATAATACAGAATTACAGTTTCATGTGCATATTTTTGCAAGTGTTAATGACAAATGAGAATTATTTATGATTATATCTGTTAAATTTGTTCGCAGAGAGTAACTATCATTTGAACATTAAAGGAAATTTTTTGACTCACAAAAGTCAAGGTTGCCAATGGAGGGAGGGTAATAAAATCGTCCAAACACCAACACGAATTTTAGGAGGCAGGGAGCTGTTCTTTACCCGTGGCCAGTTGGTTTCTGTGCTGCCCAAAGTTTGGCTGGCATCACTTGATAAGACTTTAAACAGGAGCATATCATGGATCTTCTATCCAGCACATTCAGGTGTGCCTGGTAACGAGCAGGCTGTTAGATTAGCTGCTGGCGATCTTCTGGGCGGTGAGTTACTTTATCATAAAGCGGACCTAGTGAAGGCTTTCTTTGATCTCACGGAACGTACAGGAGAACAGACAGCGAATCCATATATTGAAAGATTATGTAAACAGTGCAGGTGGGGATGGGGTCTGTAGAGATTCTGGAAGATAGTCAACACTGAGGGAAGAACGTAGGCGGACTTTTGATTTTGTTGTAACTGGTACTGTTACCAATTCGCCTCTAGGTTGGCTACTGAAGAAGGGGATGGAGCACATGTGGGAATGTACAAGTACACTGATGTCAGTTCTAGATTCATTCATTGACCCTGCTACCCATTGGTCAGGCGGAGATTTTCTTCTGTGAGAAGGGTCAACAGGTCAAGAAATGAGCTCCTGGAGATTTTCTGGGAAGTAAAGGACACCGGTGTCATATGAGAATCTGACCCATCTATTTTATAATAAACTTAACTGGAGGGTTAGCACCGTATGCTAAAAAGGCCTGTTAAGATGAAAGTAGACCCTACACCAGTTACTTGTGTCAGTGATGGTGTTGAGGGAGAGTCTGTCCGCAGACAGACACGCAGAATAACGTTTTTTCACGGCTTCCGGTCAGTATGGAGTATATGCAGATTTGCTGGTTTTAGCCGCGACAAGATTTTGCTTCTGATAATAGTTGGCCGTTGCATTTTCCTCCATATATAGACTGAAAGTATACAGTTTTATTACCCAGATACTGATTTGAGAGCATAACGTCACACTGTGAGCTGCGGATTAATTTGGGATGCTATTCGACTTTAGAGTGGTGTATGTTGTGAATTGTAGACTAAATCAGTGACAGAAATGGTTCTGCTTTCTATGAATTATTCGCATACTCAAGCACGGATCTGTTGTAACTGCTGCTTCCGTCGGTAATGGACTGTATTTGTATACAATCCTGAACACGTTCAGAAATCTGCATGTCGACACACTAGCTGACAGAAGCCGGTGTGTGACAGATACGGGAAATCTGCATGTCGACACACTAGCAGACAGAAGCCGATGTGTGACAG